GTGTGTGTGTGTGTGTGTGTGTGTGTGTGTGTGTGTGTGTGTGTATTTGTGTTAAACATAAAAATAATAGACTGGAGCCATGATAAAATACCTTAACCTATAAAAAACATCTGAAATTCTGTTCTGGCTGTTGGTTTCTTGTGTCACTCCTGCAGTAGTGGATCTAGGATTTTTCTGTGTCAGAGGCCATAATGTGCATAGAGGGGCCAAATATTTGTTAAACATCCTTCCACACAAATCTCCAGTTCTGTACAGACCGTGTGTGTGTGTATTCATTTAACCAGTTACACATGTTCAAACAGTTGTAATGTCATGTAATTTAAAAAGTTTGCACAGTACGTTCTCCTAACCAAGTTTACATGCATTTTTTTCTGTACATAGATAAATACTCTCAAACACACAGTATGTGAGAAAATACAGCCTTTGTCAGTGACAGACTTACCTGCAGGATTGTTTATGTAATAGAATTAATACTTTATGTTTAAGCAAGTAATTCATGACATCCTTTAATGACCTAGGTTTTCATGACATGCTGTTCATCTYCAGATAGAATGATTAAAGTCAGAACAAGATTCGCTAACAGCAGTCATTCTTAGATATCACTTGTGTTTATCTTTGTGTTTTCCATTGACCTTGTATGAAATCTTGCTAAGATGGCATAATGGTGTTTGTTAACACATATATGAGGCCTCTCCACAGGGTTCAACAGTGTTCAACAGTAGTGTGGAGTGGAGTGACAGAGAGAAGCAGAGGCACAGAGACAGGCCAGGTTCTCTGTTTTTCCTGTTGTTGCGATAAAACTCAGCTGATCATCTCATGGAGTACCTTCATTCTTGGACCACGTATTTCTGTCTTCGTTAAATAAATATTTACCATAACAGTTTACATTTTCTTAAAAGAAAATGACTTAATTTATTCACTCATTGGCGCCACTAGTGTTTGAACGTGGAACTGCATCCATCATAAATAGGGCAAGCCACCAGAGCAGGGGTCAATCAGATTTCAGCTGGGGTTAAAATGGACCCCGTCCCTACATCCCTGGTTTCTCAGGGTCGAGGAGCCCAGAAGTTTTGTCACATAATTCATGGATAAATGTAATGAAAACAGCACGTGGTTAAGCTACCGAACTTCCAACTCTTATTGTGAAAGATTCAAAGCGGATGTTCTATCGTTTCAGAACGGGACATCCGGTCTGACGACGACAAAACCCGGTTAAAGTCGGAGGTGTAGAGAAGCTTTACCGGGGTTTTAACTGAAGGTACGTCACACTGAGACTACTGAAGATGTGTGAAGAACTTTTACCGAACTATTTATTAATAAAAAATAAATAATAATTTTTTTTATATCTGTGTGTGACAACTGAGCATACAGCTAGCTTGTTTGTTAGTGTGTAAGCACTGACTGGAGCTCACAGTTTGTGACGCTCTTACTGTTTATTATTTTCCGTGTCAGTTCGAGGTTGACGAGTTAACAAAGTTAGCTAAACATTGAAAAAAAATTGCACTTAAAAGACAATAAGATTTTGGATAAATTAGTAAAAAAAAAAAAAATCTCTGTGGAGCTTACAGCAGGAATACTTCCCAGTAAAACAAAACTGAAATTAGGATCACGGAAATATGGACTTTAGTTATCCGATGTGGCATCTTTTTACGTGTTTTACAACCACAATGTAACTTTCGTCATCTTTGACTATTTGAAATTCACAAGATAAAGTGTATATTTATCTTATATTTTAAATATTACATATTTTTTTAAATCAAGCTATTTTCCTGTGTGAATAAATAATTGCCCACATGTAAAAAGTTGTAAACATAAATGTCTTCCTTCACTGGAAGTCACTGCTGTTTTCAGTGTTATTTCAAGTGTGTGCAGTATACTTACCTAAATTCACTGCTATTGGCCGTTGAAGGAGATTTGACAGAACTAACAGAGCTTTGTTGACTTATATTCTAAAGTGTTGAAACTAAAAAGTGATTTCAGCAATTATATAAGTTGTAATTTATAGCATTGTCTTACACACAGCTTTAGTAGTAGTATTTGTTAGTTGTATTGACAATGACTGCTCCTTTTTGAAATCTTAAATGTCTCTAGTTAAGTGCAAATTACAGATATTAAGACAATTGTACACAGGGCTGTGCTTTAACTAAAAATAACTGAGGTCACAAATCTCTGCTGGTGTTTTCTAAGTCTGTAGCACAGTGTTTCCCCTAGGAAATTGGTGTTTGGTGGGGGTGGGGTTGTCAAAATCTGGTTGTCCTCAAAACATTTTGGTTGTCCAAAAAATATCTCAATAAAAATATAATTTAATAAGTAGGCTATATTGTTCTGTATACAAAGTGTAAGACATACAAATGTTCTCAGTCAGCAGGTTGACAGTTTTAGGAGCTGCTTGAGGAGAACTTCCTCGTTCTCCTCATCCTCTTCTTTGAAATAGAGATCAGAAATCTACATCCATCCATAAGCTTTCTGCTTACAGGTCAAACATTTTTATTTAAATAGGAGTATACTACATGACCTCATTAAAGTTACAGTTTAGTGTTCTTAGGACTGAAGACTTTCTGAGGAAAGAAGTTTTTAAACATCTTTTCTAATAATTTTAGTGTTTTCAACTGAGGGGCTTTGATATATTTATTTAAAATAAATTATAGCAGAGGAAGTTCTCTGCACAGAAAAAAAAATACTGTTTTTTTAATCAAACTGACAAGTTTCTCTAGTAAAATGATTGTGTAATTTAAAGGCATTGAAACACCTGGTTAAATTTAGAAGATATGATTAACTACAAACATCTGAAGCTGACTCAGAGAACTCTGTGATTTTAGAAAAAATAAAAGTCAAATGTAGACACGTCTTTAAGAGACCCTCCTCCCCACCACCCTGCGCAGCTGCGGTCAGCGCACCTCTTCTCCATCCGCGTGATTAATTCAGATGTTTTTTGCGCAAATTACAGATATTTTATGCTTATTATACACGTTAAACATCTGAAGGGGTAGAAGTGTGAACTCTTCAGTCCCGGGCTGGTCGGAGCCGAGCTGCAGGTGGGCAGGCTCAGCTGCTGTAAAGTCGCTGCCCCTCGCTTTAAAAACAGTCAGCTGATCCGTCGCGGTTTTGTTGCGCTCGTGACGTGAACACACAGGAGAAATGCTGTAAAGTGCTTTTAGAAATATAATAAATATAAAATACGACGTAATCCTCGGTGGAAAATAGTCCAGGAGACGTGTGCGTTCCCGAGAGGAGCGCCCCGCCTGTATAATGGTAGAGGAAACAAAAAGAAAAAAGTTGTATAGGCCTTCTGGACGGGGAAGTTATACATCGGGGAAACAAAGCAGCCACTGTTCAAAAGAATGTCCCAACACAGACGAGCTACATCTAATGGCCAGAACTCTGCAGTTTTCACTCATTTACAGGCCAGCGGTCACTCTTTCAGAGATGAGGATGTTCTCATTCTTGATAGAGAAGAACGTTGGTTTGAGAGAGGAGTAAAAGAAACCATTTTTGTGAAGAAAGACCGTCCATCATTAAACAGAGGTGGAGGCCTCCGTTTTCAGTTGTCCCCCTCCTACAGCGCTGCTATAGCCAGTGTCACTCCACCCCCTGTTAACAATAGGTGTTAATTAGGTGTCAACGATAGCCATGTGATGTGAGTATCAGTCACATGGAGGCAGTGCTTAAAAGCCTGAATTTTGCCTGAAACTCTCAGACTGAAGAAGTCTCTTGGAGGAGAGACGAAACGTTTCATTAGAGAAGAACCCGTCCAGAAGACCTATACTGTTTTTTTCTTTTTGATTTTTTACCTGGATTACTGAGATGCATCAGGTCACTGTAGCAGAATATTTTGGTAACTTTTGCAGTGGGGTATGAGGAACAGAAAACGTAACGTGGGCTGCACATTGTCATTATTTTAGTTGTATTTTGAGACTGTTCATGAAAATAAGTGAATGCTTGTGTTTACAGTTTATAGTTTTTGTGATCTGTGTTGTATTAATTGCTTGTTCTGTTACAGTTCATCATGTTTAATGCCTCTCAAAAGCCACCCAAAACCAGGAACCTGTCACCTCATGGCTCCAGTTCCAAGTCCGCCAAAAAAATTCACATTGATGAAGTCGTCAAGATAGCAGTGAACCTCTCTTTGGAGAGGTTTCGCTACAGTGATGAGAAAGGTACAAACTGTTTTTTCAGATGCGTTTCTGATTCATCCAAGCTGCACCTCCGTATTATATTTATGTTCTCTACATATGATGCACTTTTTTTTTCTCACACACCAATAAGTACACCATCTGGAGTTAATGGCACGTGCTTGTTACTGTTAAAAGAAGCCTATTACTCACTAATATAGAGGCTCACTTTTGTTTTTTTTTTATTATTTTTGTTGATGATGTGGACACTTTTCTAATCTAATCTATGTCCATTTCACTCATCACTTGTCCTTGGTTTGCCCCAGAAGTCTAAATAATAAATATTGTCAAGTTATATGATAAATAGATATCATTGTAAAAGTAAGTCTTTATCTCAGTGTAAGCAGGTGTTTAAGACTGTTTCTATGGAGTGAAATAACATTTAACGTTTTCTGCCTTTGATTGTGCAGAGATGGAATTTCCATCTTCCTTTTCCAGTACTGAGAGGGCATTTGTTCATCGCTTGGCACAGTCCCTGGGCTACATTTCTAAGAGCAAAGGGTAAGTTTTTCCAACAGATCATCTGTATCACAATCGCACAAAGATGTCCTATTAAATGGATACTTTTTATAAAGCCAGGGATTGTTATTACCGCAAAAAGAGCCAGTCCTTTGCAGTAAAAGTGACTAATATAGGATATTTCAGTCTCCTGATGTTTTACAATAATTTCGCAGCTTATACAGTGAAAATGTTAGAATTAAATGACACTATATACACTCACCGGCCACTTTATTAGGTACACCTGTCCAACTGCTCGTTAACACTTAATTTCTAATCAGCCAATCACATGGCGGCAACTCAGTGCATTTAGGCATGTAGACATGGTCAAGACAATCTCCTGCAGTTCAAACRGAGCATCAGTATGGGGAAGAACGGTGATTTGAGTGCCTTTGAACGTGGCATGGTTGTTGGTGCCAGAAGGGCTGGTCTGAGTATTTCAGAAACTGCTGATCTACTGGGATTTTCACGCACAACCATCTCTAGGGTTTACAGAGAATGGTCCGAAAAAGAAAAAACATCCAGTGAGCGGCAGTCCTGTGGGCGGAAATGCCTTGTTGATGCCAGAGGTCAGAGGAGAATGGGCAGACTGGTTRGAGCTGATAGAAAGGCAACAGTGACTCAAATAACCACCCGTTACAACCYAGGTAGGCAGAAGAGCATCTCTGAACACACAGTACGTCGAACTTTGAGGCAGATGGGCTTCAGCAGCAGAAGACCACACCGGGCGCCACTCCTTTCAGCTAAGAACAGGAAACTGAGGCTACAATTTGCACAAGCTCATCGAAATTGGACAAGAGAAGATTGGAAAAACGTTGCCTGGTCTGATGAGTCTCGATTTCTGCTGCGACWTTCGGATGGTAGGGTCAGAATTTGGCGTCAACAACATGAAAGCCTGGATCCATCCTGCCTTGTATCAACGGTTCAGGCTGGTGGTGGTGGTGTCATGGTGTGGGGAATCTTTTCTTGGCACTCTTTGGGCCCCTTGGTACCAATTGAGCACCGTTGCAACGCCACAGCCTACCTGAGTATTGTTGCTGACCATGTCCATCCCTTTATGACCACAATGTACCCAACATCTGATGGCTACTTTCAGCAGGATAATGCGCCATGTCATAAAGCTGGAATCATCTCAGACTGGTTTCTTGAACATGACAATGAGTTCACTGTACTCAAATGGCCTCCACAGTCACCAGATCTCAATCCAATAGAGCATCTTTGGGATGTGGTGGAACGGGAGATTCGCATCATGGATGTGCAGCCGACAAATCTGCGGCAACTGTGTGATGCCATCATGTCAATATGGACCAAAATCTCTGAGGAATGCTTCCAGCACCTTGTTGAATCTATGCCACGAAGAATTGAGGCAGTTCTGAAGGCAAAAGGGGGTCCAACCCGTTACTAGCGTGGTGTACCTAATAAAGTGGCCGGTGAGTGTATATGTATATTTATTTATATGACTTATTAAAAATGTTACTGTACAAAATATTTACTAAGACCTTTTGAACGTTTTACCATTTTTATGACTTTCAGTTTGAAGAGTATTTATTTTTACTTTTCCTTTCGCATTTTTGGGGTTGTGTTTGTTTATCAGTTTCACACTGTACCAAGTTTTATGTTTCTGCCTCATTCCAGCTGTCTGTTTTCATTTGTTCAATGTTGAAACAGAACGTGTAACCAGCAGTCTGTACACAGGACATGACAAACTGAAGCATTTGTTTCTTTTTCTCTTAAAAAAATGAAAACCAATGAAAGTAATAGTAAAAAATCAAGCTTAATGATAAGTAATATTAGTATTGGTAAACTCTAAAGAATACCCTTTTCTACACATTCAGTAAATAGGGGTTGAAGCTGCGTTAAAGATTTCTTTAAATGTGATGGTGTTTGCTGCATTCATGCCTCCTTGGGTTTTTTGTTCAGTCCTCGATCAGAACCATGATGATGTAGAAATTGCATTGTTTTGTATTTGAATTACGTAAAGTGACAAACTTCTGGTTTTTCACTTTCTTTTTCAGAAAAGGATCAAATCGCTTCTTGACCATTAGGAAGAAGGATGTTTCAGCCAAACCTCAACCGAACATCTCCCTCTCACTGTCCCAGAGTTCTTTATATTTTATCCGCAGCCTCCTTCAGAGGTTTCCCATTAGCAAGAAGGAACGCACAGACATGCAGCTCAACAGCAAAAATGGCGTAACTTTGGCTGCAGAAATGGGTGATTGTCTGTGTGTTTGTGTGTGTACTTGAGTTCTGTTACGTTTTTCTAGTATAATCATCTACCTTGTCAGGACCAGTGGCCCTTATGGGGACCGAGGCCTGGCTTTAATACCTGGAGCGTTAGTTAAGGTTAGGTTTAGGGCAGGGGTTCTTAACCTTTTTGACCTCGGGGCCCAATTTATTGAACATAAAGTGACACGAGACCCAGTCAGACATTACCAATGTATGGATCAAAATGATAATTATTCTAAATCTTGGTTTAATTATTATTGTACTTGCATTATAACTAAATTAAACACGCTTACATTTTAAAAGTAAAACTCCTGTCAAATAATCACAAAACATGATTATGACAAACAATTTTTTATATTATAACCTGCCCATAACAATTATTTGAACAAATGGTCAGTCAACAGACCACTCAGGCTTATCAACACAAATATATATAT